TTTAGTTTGTTGAAGTATTAAAATAACTCAAATTAAATAAAACTAACAACTTAATAAAATACCTATATAGACATTAATAAATTCAGACATAATGTAACTAAAATAAATAACAAATACAAATAATACAAATCAAATGACATAATGGTGACACTTTATATTTGCTTTCACTAACAATAATAAAGGGATAGCTATTTTAGTCATAATTTCCTTGCATAATTTTCTTATTTTATTTATTGTCTCAGTGTTTTTTCTTTTTTGGTCAAGGCCTTTCTGGGCCTTGAACATGGTAGTTGTGATGCTGTCTATGCAGGGTCAGAAAGCTCTCGGATTTCATCAAAAATATATTTTGTGAACTTTGTGTTCTGAAGATGAACAAAGGTCTTATGGGTTTGGAATGACATGAGGGTGAGTAATTAATGATAGAATTTTCATTTTTGGGTGCACTATCCCTTTAATAAAATATATTGTAAAGTGTTACAAACACATTTCTTGGCATTATTTAGGTCACAGCCTGAGTTTGCCACATGATTATCTTTAATGCTTGCAAACTGAATGTAACTGGCATGTGGTTATGTACGTCACAGCAGAAAATTGTTTTTTTTTTCTAGAGAGCAGTCTTACCATCTGTTAAAGACTCAAACAGCATACAAAACATTCAACTCATCAATAATAATATAAGCAAGAAGAGCTAAGCCACCCACTCTATGGCAAAGGCTGCAGACTCACCAACTACTAAGCATGACCATACACCCCCATCCATTCATTTATGCATTCTGCATAAAAAGTTAAGTTAAATAAAAAATAATAACTCTTAAACGCTAGTCTAGTTGCTTGTCTTTTTCTTAATGTATTTCCTGCCTGATTGTTAACACTCTATATCAATTCAGGGCTCCCAAAATTTCAAAATCGCTGGTAGCCCTTCGGGGAGACATTCTTCTGATTTTGGTAGCCCAAAATGTAGCAAAAAAATTCACTGCGGGCAAATCAGCATGATTAAAAACTTTAGTGAATGCTTTTTTTCTTCAAATAACAAGTCAAGAGAGTAGGGGTGCAAAGTAACGGATCACAAAACCCACGGCTCGGATCCTATTGCATTATCATATCAGATTTTGAGTAACAGATCGGGTCATTTTGCAGATGAGCAAAAAAAAATATTATTATTTTGTTATGTTCTTTATTCTTTAAATAACAGAATACTTATTTGATACCACAGCAAAAGCTAGTAGCATATAGGGATGTAACGTTTCACTCAACTCACGATGCATTGCGATTCAAGATACTGATTTCACAATACAATTTTTCTTTTTAACAAAATGAGATTTAAGACAAATTATAAATGAAAAGGTGTCCTTTTATTATTTCTCCAACAAAATGCTGCACATTTCTTTGTGAAATTGAAATATGTCAAATAATAAAACTAACCAATCCCAAATCAAATAATTAAATACAAATAAAATAAATCTCTTCATATAAACAATCTAATGCTTTGGCTGTGCTTTTTCCATTTAACATCAGAGGCATCCACTGCAATTTAATCACGATCCAAATACATGTTATTTAGATTGCAATTCGATTGTACAATTTCGAAATCTGAAGCGAAAACAGAATGATCTGATTTTAGCTTTGTGAATGAGATGCAAATGTTACTCTCTGACAGCAGGTGGCGCTTATGTAACAGCCGGTGTTTATAGGCTGCTACCCCTTTAAGACCGAATGCACGGATCCAATATAATGATGCACTTGAGATTTCTTTCTCCACTGTTTACGTTCACTGAAGACATAACGACTGTGTTTACGTGAATACTTGCCGAGACAGCTATTTTGAGATCATTTTGTGTGTATGTGTTCATTCAGATGCAAGGGTACGCGAAAGAGGAATCGATTCTGTGTACACGCATTGTCTGAAACACGGCTCTCTGTGCACGTTATGAATGAGTGAGCGCAGCTCCGAATGCATGTGAATGGTTTAAAACACTTGAATGTTTAAATCGGCAAGACTTCGAAACACGTGCAAACTATCAAATATGATCCGTCTTACCCCTAAAAGCTAGTGAACAATGCAAATCAAGGAAGGAATTTAAATCACTGTTCAAGATAGCCCGTCGGGCAGGGTGGTGAAACATTTTGGTAGCCCGACTGGAAAACACAATAGCCCCGGGACGTCGGGCTAGCGATTTTGCGAGCCCTGTATCAATTGATATTACCCAATTAAATACTTGGACAAACTCCGTTACTGTGTTGACAATGGCATATATCATATTAAAACAGTAAATTGATCAGAAATGATTCCATGTTCCATTATTTACTAACAGAATCTTACATTTCTCCTCTTATATACTATCATGCCCACCTTGAACTCTTTTTCTATGTTGGCTAGAACAGCTAGTTCATTGCTGAGCTCTAGAGCTGTCAGTACCGGGTCCTCGCTGGACAGGGATAGGTAGGTAGGGCTTGCCAACCCTTTGTAGGCATTGATTCTGGAATGCGAATGGCTAAAAGAGTCGTGCCTCTGGTGATAGAGGCAGCTGTTGCATTTGCAAAAGTAGTCATGTGGGCGCTCAATACGGGCACCCTTCCTCAGCAGAATGTGCACAATCTCGTATTCATGGCAATGAGAAGCTAGTATAATGGGTGTAATATCATGGGAAAACCGTGTGCCATCCTCGTCATATGCGAAGAAGTCCTCTTACGTTTCTGCCTGGAGGGGGCAGCTAGTGAGTTTGGATGTGCCCAAAATGGCCTCCACAATACGAATGTAGCCTTTACTTATGGCTAAAAGCAGAGCGTCACCAATCCTGGCCAGGTTCTCTTGCTTCAGCAAGAGTTCTGTCACTTCCAGGTGCTCATTGTCAACCACAAGCTGCAATGCATTCTGGCCCATGTAGTCCACACAGTTGACATTAAGGTCTGGAAGTTCTTCTAGCATCCTGTCGATGACAGGGATATTTCCATACTCAGCTGCCTCTAGGAAACGCTCTTCAGTTGGTAATGGGCATTAAACATGTAGGCCGGTCTCCGTATAGCCATGTGCCGGCTCTTAGCCAATGCATGCCTCTGAAGGTCATCGTTGCTCTTGGCCTAATGGTTAGAGAGTCGGACTCGTTACCCAAAGTTGCGAGTTCGAGTCTCGTACCGGCAGGGATTGTCATCTTGTTCTTGTTTTTTTTTTGTTCATACAATGAATGACACAAAACGGCTTTGTTACCAACAGTCTTCAAAATGCCTTAAGTTCCACAAGAGAAAATAAATCATTCAAGTTTGAGTAAATTATGACCTAATTAAATTTTTTTGGGTGAACTATCCCTTTAATGTTTGTATTATTATTATTTGTATTATTATGTATTTGTTTATTTATTTAAATTAAATGATACTCGAAATAAGAAACTATAAATCTGCCAGCAGGTGGCGGTAAATATCTTTATGACTCATTTATTCATTCGAACGGCTGGTTCATTCTGCAATTCAGTAAACGGCTCTCTTTATGAATGGGCCTTTGAATCTTTAAAACTGGTTCACACGACTCGCTCAAAACGCGGATTCATTTAGAAAACACCGCTGTGCTGCTCGGAGACGCACAACAATTCTGCTGTGCCTTTAAATGCAAACAGCACTCGTGTCGCTTATAATATGATATAAATATGAGACAAAAACACATACAGTGGCATTTTTGCACCAATATCTTATATTTTATTGCATAACTGCATTTATGGAGCTGTTGCTCATCTGCATCATATTTGTCAACAGTCAACTGTATGAAATGCAAGATGATGTACAGGTCTGGGGGCGAGGCCAGTGTGTTAACTGCTTAAAATATTTTAATCTCGTTATTATTTTTTTATAACTAATTAAGTTAACGCGTCAAACTGACAGCCCTACTATATATATATATATATATATATATATATATATATATATATATATAATAAAATCACATTTAAACTCGTGATATTCGGGACAAACAGCACTCGTGTCGCTTATCATATGATATAAATATGAGACAAAAACACATACAGTGGCATTTTTGCACCAATATCTTATATTTTATTGCATAACTGCATTTATGGAGCTGTTGCTCATCTGCATCATATTTGTCAACAGTCAACTGTATGAAATGCAAGATGATGTACAGGTCTGGGGGCGAGGCCAGTGTGTTAACTGCTTAAAATATTTTAATCTCGTTATTATTTTTTTATAACTAATTAAGTTAACGCGTCAAACTGACAGCCCTACTATATATATATATATATATATATATATATATATATATATATATATATATTCCCCCACTTAAAGAGGTTTGGAGAAATTAGGGAAAAGTGTGAAAATGTTCTTGACTGCGTAAGACATCCAGGCAGGGGCCTGTTTACGGTCAACTCCAGTGAGAGACCGATCTGCGTGTCTGCAGACCAGGCTACCTCAGCCATTTTGTCTCTGCGCCTCTTCGCCATGGCGGAGATGGACGACGGTGATGAGCCGGGTTTAGTTCACACTCGCAGCGGTTCTTCTGGATCCAAATCAGGGGGAGACAAGATGTTTTCCCTCAAGAAGTGGAATGCGGTGGCCATGTGGAGCTGGGATGTGGAGTGTGACACCTGCGCTATTTGTCGGGTTCAAGTAATGGGTGAGTGTTTCTCTAGCTAAGTTAACCGGCTAGCTGAAATAGCATTTGTGTACCTTTCTGTGATTTTTAGCTGGTTTACGTTACCTAAACATACCACGTATAGGCAGATAACACTGCCTGAATCCAGCCACTACCGAGTCGTAACATAGTTAAAAATGAATGACTTACTGCTACCTACATAGTCATTTGTGGAACTCATAAGTGGTCACGTAAATGCTGACACAAACGTTGAAAAGTGTCTATAATGCCCAAAATGCTGTGATTGGGACAATCAAACCCAAGTAAAACCGAAAATCAACGGTTTGAACACGCTTATGATACACCAAAACGACAAAATAAATATGCGAACACTATTATCCTTATACTGCTGAATCTATGTCTTAAAGTGACTTATTGAGGGCATCTGTAATGCTTAAAAAAAAAAAAAAAGCTAAGTCAAATGTTCAAACGCATATGATGCCCAAAAGTGCAGAATCAATTGTGGAGATGTATCTGTACCAAGATGTAGCCTAGTCATTCTAATCCCCACTTTTGACCCTGGGTAAAGGAACATTTCATAAGGGCTTGTCACTAGTGTTCTTGAACGATTCGTTCATTTTGAACGAATCTTTAATGTGACTCTGTAAGAACGAGTCGTCTTGGGGAGTGATTCGTTCAGTCGCGCATGCGCAACATCATATAGGTTCTGTACTGGAATTAGTCAAGGGCTGTGTTCGAAATCGCTCCCTATACCCTTAAATAGGGCACTATTTGAGGGAACAGCCATTTTTACTGGTGTCCGAAACCATAGTGGACGTTCTCGTGTGCACTCATTCAATCCCACAATGCACTGCAAAAACGAGTGTACAACTGGTGCATGCTCAACGGCTAGAGAATGCCCATAATGCACCGTGAGAGTCACGCGCCGAATGAATTCCCGCATCTCGCCAGAAAATGGCGCCCGCAGCTGAATAATCAATCTGTTCATTTTTACAAAGTGCTCATCCATGGCGTACAGCATAATGTACAACACGAGTATGAATTAATTTAAAATAGTTTGATTAGGGTTTATACATAATTTCCGTGACAGAGTTCAAGATAAATCCTTTAATCTTACTACTGGAGCTGCTAGTTTGCTAGTTTCAAATGATTAATAAACAGCAAGCACAAACTATGCAAAAGTGGCATTCCTTCCGGTGCACTCAGTGTCCGAATTCACTACTCGTTTTCATTCACTCCTTCTAGTGAACTGAATCAGTGACCTAATGAAGAAACAAATGTTTAAAAAAAAACTTCCAAAATCACCTTAGATAAACAGCAAGTCAACAGGTTTTTTCAAAATCCAAAATATTGCCAAACAGGTGCTTTTGCATTTCGTTTCGAAACTAAATAATCCGCGATCGTCTTGTCTGTCTCACCTCACTCTTGTCAGTCCGCTCGACTCACTCTCCTTACTGGAGATATTAAATCTGATCTGTGATGCAACTGTCGTACGGCACGCTGCATTGAGCAGCCGCGTTCAGTTTTTAATTGTAGTGTCTGTTCTTTTACTGAACTAAATTATTTTTATTGCGATAACAAATCAAAACGATGGTGGGGGTCGGTGACGCGGTGGGCAAGTGACGTAACCGGTGTTGCGGCTTAACACCTGTATAACCGTTAGCACCGTCTATCGCGGCAAGCCTAATGAGGGTATAAGGGGCGATTTCGGCAAGTAGTTCACCTGTTTCGAGTCTTCGGGTTTTTCCGAGTCATTCGTTCATCACGTGACAGCCCCATAAGTTTAACCAATGCAGTCTGAGCCGGAAAGAGAATTGATTAGTTCATCTCTCGAGTCTTCGGGTTTGAGTCGTTCGTTCATCACGTGACAGCCCCATAAGTTTAACCAATGCAGTCTGAGCCGGAAAGAGAATTGATTAGTTCATCTCTCGAGTCTTCGGGTTTGAGTCGTTCGTTCATCACGTGACAGCCCCATAAGTTTAACCAATGCAGTCTGAGCCGGAAATAGACTTTATAATAATAACCAACTCTTTGTTACCTTTGTTACAACATTCAGTGTTATGGAAAAAACCATAATGACAGAAATTCACACATTCATAAACTGTAAAAAGCTACAATTTGAGACCAGAAACGCATCCCGTAACTGTAAGAGTAAATAATAATTATAATAATGATGATAATAATAATAATAATACTATGCACCCGTTTGTAAGGAAGCTTGTAAATTAACTAATTTCTATATCCAATGCTGTCACGTCACATGACAAAAGAACGAACGATTCGAAAGACTCGAGAGATGAACTAATCAATTCTCTTTCCGGCTCAGACTGCATTGGTTAAGTCTATGGGGCTGTCACGTGATGAACGAACGACTCAAACCCCGAAGACTTGTCAGATAAGAGGTGAGGTGAGCTAATCGTAGACTGAAGACCCAGGTAAACAATGAATTAATCTTTTCTGTTTCTTATAGCAGTTTTGTATTGTTTGTAGTGTGATCAACGTTTGCGTAAGTAGTAGACGTATTAGGGAAGTAACACGTAACATTTTAATTATATTTTGCTAAAATGAACGAAATGACACGAAAAAAGATTCATTCATTTTGCTGAACGAGACTCACAAGGTCAGAGTCTGTAAAATGATCCGAACTTCCCATCACTACTTGTCACACCTGAAACGGTTAACTCTGGGACACCCTGTGTTATCTTGGTTCACGGTTCACACTGCTTATACTTTAGCCGGAGTTCACAATTAACCCTGGGTGTTCATAAGCTGAAGTTTGTGTACACTGTACATTGTGAACTCCCAGGTTAACATTCTTATTTGCATTTGTGCAGTGTCATTGATTGGATGAATGCAGCATACCACATGTTTACAAAGGCTCCAGAGTTGTGCAGCTTTTCCATCAAAATGCCGAAACAACTGTTTATACCAAACGCTGTGTTTCTGTAACGATCCAAAACATGTTAGTGAGGCACGTGAATGACTGCCGATTGCTAAGCATCTAGCCATAACATTCTAACACCAAATATAATTTCACCGTGCAAGTTTATACTGCAGTGTGGGGTTAACACTGCAAAAACTTGACGGTACAGTCTGTAATATTTAATAAGGATGCCCAATGTAAACCTTTATGTAAACAGTTTGCGTTCTTCATTCCTACAATCAGTGACACTGACACTCCAAATATGCAAATAAGAGCGTTAACCCAGAGTTATGGAATGTACAGTGTGAAATGTCAGCATATGAATACCCAGGTTTGGTTGTCAACCTCAGGTAAATTATGAACAGTGTGAAACATGAAGCAAGATGACCCAGGATTTCATTTACCTGGGGGTTTAGAATCCGGTAAGGGTTAACTATTTCAAGTGTGAAAAGCCCTTATGAAGCCCAAAACCACTGAATCGAACAATGTTAAGAAGTGCTGCGATGAATGCTCAAATCAAAGACTACCAAGATGTACCAAGACGGTGCAATCCTTTTACTTATTAATGGGAGAAAGTACGATGCTCAAAATGGTGGAATAGTCTCACCTACTGAATACCAGTCACTAATTGGTAAAGTCATCGCTGTTGGAAGCTCCAGTTGTTATAGAAACAGTCAGCATTCGGAGATGCACGCTTAGGACTGCGCATGCACATTGGCTGGTCTAGACTGAAAAATACGCTTTTTAACGCTATTTGAGCATTTTTTTAGAGAGGAGTTGTCAGATTTCATTGGTGATTTCAAATATGAAATTTAAACGTAAGCTTGGTGAACAGTTTTGGAGAATTTAATGTTTTCCCATTCAAAGTGATAGGAGCTGCACTTGCATGCCTGAGAGGCGTTACAAAGGTGGCAGCCGATTGACATGACTTGTCTTAAAGGGGCTTTGGTTCAAAATGCACCTGTGTGGCCAAAATCCCTGCATTGTGCATTCAGTTGTGTTTGATCATTTCAACGATAAATATAAAAATGCTGTCTAGGTAGGCTTTGAGACACAGCCGTACTTTTCTGGTTCGTCACAATAAACTTAGTTAACTTTCTTTCCAATATAATCAAACCGTAATTATACACAGTCAAACTGTAACTTAATATGACTTTAGCAAGTTTATCCTCTGACGGAATTGTAAAATGACACAAATTTCAACTTATTTCTGCCCTAAATGAACATAAAAATTAACTGGGTATGTTTGAATGAATGTTGAATGATACGTAGTTTCATATTTGTTTCAGATGCATGCTTGAGATGCCAGGCTGAAAACAAACAAGAGGACTGTGTTGGTAAGTCAAACGTAACATCACTGCTGGCATACTAATTGCCTGCCTAATAGGCTTGTCGTGATAGACGGTGCTGACAGCCGCAACACCGGTTACATCACTTGCCCACCGCGACACCGACCCCCACCGTCGTTTTGATTTTTATAGTAATAAAAAGAATTTAGTTCAGTAAAAGAACAGACACTACAATTAAAAACTGAACGCGGCTGCTCAATGCAGCTTGCCAAACAACATTTGCATCTCAGATCAGATTTAATTTCAGATCAGATTTAATTTCTCCAGTAAGGAGAGTGAGTCGAGCGGACTGACAAGAGTGAGGTGAGACAGACAAGACGATCGCGGATTATTTAGTTTTGAAACTAAATGCTAAAGCACCTGTTTGGCAATATTTTGGATTTTGAAAAAACCTGTTGACTTTTGCCGTTTATCTAAGGTGATTTGGAAGTTTTTTTTAAACATTCATTTCTTATTTAATTGGTTCCACATTGTTTGCTGATTTTAACTTTATTTAAACTTTGTGTCATTTATGTATTTTATTTGACATCAAGGTGTATGCCGTGCCTCCAAGTTTTCTTAACTCGTTTTGCTAATAAACGTTTTACGTTTCTTATTTATTTGGTTATATATTATACATGTTTACTTATTTTCAGTTGTGTATACCTATTTAAACTATGTAAGTTATTTGTTATTTTATATTAGGCATAGCCTGCCCTATAGCATGGTGTATTTTTATTTGTTTTATTAATAAAAGTTCTATGTTTTATATATAGGCTAAAGGGAGTTTAGCGTTGTATTTTGTTGTTGCATTCAAACAATTGATGCCGAACTGCCGCTATTTGAAAGTGAAAGTAAAATGCGCACGCCGCTTTTACAAGCTATTTAAAAGTGAGGAAAAGAAGGAACGCCCCGCGGTGATACCGGTATTACCGGTGTTGTCACACGTCGATTAACCGGTGGGAAAATGTCCTCACCGTCACGACCCTACTGCCTAATTAATCAATTACATTATCCCCTAATTAATCAATCAATCACATTAATCCACTAGAAGCAGATGGCTTGACTGGTCACTGCCGTTACAGTTTGCACTTCACTTATATTTTTCACAATTTACACTATATATATTTTGTAAATTATATTAACAATATAATAATAAATTATATACTTGAGTCATTTATCAGTTGCTTTTATCCAAAGCGACTTACAGTACACCTGTTTGTGGCAATCCAACTAAAGCAACCTGGGGTTAAGTACATTGAGCAAGTGCACGATTCATAGTATTAATTTGTGTCACAAAATAAACCCTGCCTTATTCAACTGGTTAAATCAAAGGATAGTGTCACACTTAAAGGGGTAGTTCACCCAGAAATATATTCATATATTCACCCTCATGTTGCTACAAAACCTGTATGAATGTCTGTCTGTCTTCTGTGGAACACAAAAGAAGATAATTTGTGGAATGTCAGTGTTTTGTTTTTCTGGGTCTGAACCATTACGGTCTCTTATTTTGTCTTTCTCTCAGTGGTATGGGGAGAGTGCAACCACTCCTTCCACAATTGCTGCATGTCCCTCTGGGTGAAGCAGAACAATAGATGCCCATTATGCCAACAGGACTGGGTGGTACAGAGGATCGGCAAGTGAGGATTCAAGCTTTGGACCCACATTTCCTCCATCCACTTTGGGACTACTCTGCTTGGGGAGACCGGACTGATTATCAGAGCATCTCCAGCTGCTGAATGTGTAGGAAAATCTGTGTGCATGTGTGCGTGTGTGACTGTCAAAGTGAAACCAAGGATGTAGGCAGAAATCCAGGTGACACTGGTTAGCTTTACCATTCTGTCACCTCATACAGCATTAAGAAGAACCAGCCAGAAGAGCTCCAGGATACAACAGATTCACTTAGGTGTTTGTGGCATCATGTGATATTATAACTGAAGTTGTGCTATGAATGTGTGTGTTTAAGTGTGTTAGAAATAAAAACAAATCTCAATGTTTTATAGGTGTGTGTTACTGATTATTGAATGATGGATTATTTTTACATAATTTCTGGTGAAGATTTGCGCATTGAGGATTTTTAAATAATTTTGTAAATATTTCTGTTAAGATTTGCATATATTTATGCATAATTTATATGTACAGGTGCATCTCAATAAATTAGAATGTCATGGAAAAGTTAATTTTTTCCTAAATTTCAAGGTCACTGCTTAGTCATATTTGAAGTTCTCCTAACAGGAGAAGAGTGGCAGTTTTTTAAGCATATTTCATAAATTAATTGTATTCTGAAGCACAGTATAAAAAACTTAAGTGATATGTTTGAAAAAGAACTCTGATCAAAATTAGAGAACACTTACAGATACCTCCAAGTTATTGGTGTTAATCTGCTGGTGCTAATTTGACATTGCCTATTTAACTGGCAGCACTCCTGTAATTTTCACTGAGATTGCAAAATGGCAGGCTGCTATAAGGTAACTGAAACCCTGCAACAGGAGTCGGTACAGATGAAGGCCACTTTCAGCCACTGCAAGAGAAGCTTGCATTCCAAAGCATTCCAAATCTGTGATTTCTAGAATATTGCAGCTTTACAATGATACTAATTAATTCAAGTCCCCCAAAAAGGATGGTCGTCCACGTAAGACAAATGCACAACAAGACAGGATAATGCGGAGACTCTAAATGGGAAAACGGTTCAACACTGCAGCTGGAATTGCTTGCCAGTTCAGTGAGCGGGGTAAGGATCTGTCCTTACATGAGGCATGTTTAAGAGAAGTCAGACTGAAAGCACATTCTGCAGTGACCTAGCCTCTCAGCAGAAATAATCAAAAAGCTTGGCTCACATTTGCTGAGGAGCATGTTGTGTGGAGAGAAAACTGGTCCAAAGTTCACCTGTAACCCTCCAAAATTTGAGTTGTAATCTTTCGTACTATGTGGTTACTGTTCTCACTGTGTTAAGCACTGTTTTCCACAAAATAGAGGTTTTGTTGAAATGCTTTGGTTATTTTGTCAAACATGTTAGTATAACAGTGGTATACCTACAGCTAATATTCCTTCATATGTAATTTTGTAAATTAATTATTCATTATTAGTGTACAAATGTCTCTAGAAGCCCTAAATGGACAAATTTATAGAATTAGTTTACTCAAAAATGAAGATTCTCTCATCATTAAACTTCAGTAATTATCAAGCTGGCCTGTGAGCACATTTTACATGAGAACTTAAAAAGTGCAAAATCTACAACAAGACGGGATAATGCGGAGACTCTAAATGGGAAAACGGTTCAACACTGCAGCTGGAATTGCTTGCCAGTTCAGTGCCGAGCGGGGTAAGGATCTGTCCTTACATGAGGCATGTTTAAGAGAAGTCAGACTGAAAGCACATTCTGCAGTGACCTAGCCTCTCGGCAGAAATAATCAGAAAGCTTGGCTCACATTTGCTGAGGAGCGTGTTGTGTGGAGAGAAAACTGGTCCAAAGTTCACTAGTGATGAGAGCAAGTTTTAATTTATTTGAGTCAGATGGGAAACATTGTTCCGCGTCAAACTGAGGAAAGACTGAACCCTGAGTGTGTAAAGAAGTCAGTGAAAGGTGGAGGAGGAAGTGTCATGTTTTGGGGGATGTTTTCTGCAGGAGTTGGGCCTCTTACACAGCTACATGGCAGGGTGAATGTTTATCAGAACCTCCTTCAGCCATATGTGGTACCTTCCCTGCAAGCATCTCCCAATCAGCCTGCAATTTTCAAAAGCTGCAAAATGGGTAAAGCAGTTCCTTGAAGCTAAGAACATTGAAGTAATGAAATGGCCAGCCCAGAATCCTGATCTAAACCTGAATGAAAATCTCTGGAAATTCCATGCCGTCAAAGTTATAGCTAAGAAACCCACTACAGTTAACGAACTGTGGAAGAAGAGTGGACCAAGATCACACCAGCACAGTGTGAGAAACTATATCCTGAGGCCGCAGATGTGCTGAAGTTATTCAAAGCAGGGGCCTCTACAATTCCTACTAATTTCTGACAGCTGTAACCCTCCAAAATTTGAGTTGTAATCTTTCGTACTACAGTGGTTACTGTTCTCACTGTGTTAAGCACTGTTTTCCACAAAATAGAGGTTTTGTTGAAATGCTTTGGTTATTTTGTCAAACATGTTAGTATAACAGTGGTATATCTACAGCTAATATTCCTTCAAATTTTGAGTGATGAAGATTAACAATATTTCAGAAAAAAATCAAATATTTATAGATTATTCTCTCATTTTGATATCCACTGTATTATACATGTAATTATATATATTATATCATTTATACTGGATGGGTTTTTATGTAATTTTGTAAATTAATTATTCATTATTAGTGTACAAATGTCTCTAGAAGCCCTAAATGGACAAATTTATAGAATTAGTTTACTCAAAAATGAAGATTCTCTCATCATTAAACTTCAGTAATTATCAAGCTGGCCTGTGAGCACATTTTACATGAGAACTTAAAAAGTGCAAAATCTACAACAAGACGGGATAATGCGGAGACTCTAAATGGGAAAACGGTTCAACACTGCAGCTGGAATTGCTTGCCAGTTCAGTGCCGAGCGGGGTAAGGATCTGTCCTTACATGAGGCATGTTTAAGAGAAGTCAGACTGAAAGCACATTCTGCAGTGACCTAGCCTCTCGGCAGAAATAATCAGAAAGCTTGGCTCACATTTGCTGAGGAGCGTGTTGTGTGGAGAGAAAACTGGTCCAAAGTTCACTAGTGATGAGAGCAAGTTTTAATTTATTTGAGTCAGATGGGAAACATTGTTCCGCGTCAAACTGAGGAAAGACTGAACCCTGAGTGTGTAAAGAAGTCAGTGAAAGGTGGAGGAGGAAGTGTCATGTTTTGGGGGATGTTTTCTGCAGGAGTTGGGCCTCTTACACAGCTACATGGCAGGGTGAATGTTTATCAGAACCTCCTTCAGCCATATGTGGTACCTTCCCTGCAAGCATCTCCCAATCAGCCTGCAATTTTCAAAAGCTGCAAAATGGGTAAAGCAGTTCCTTGAAGCTAAGAACATTGAAGTAATGAAATGGCCAGCCCAGAATCCTGATCTAAACCTGAATGAAAATCTCTGGAAATTCCATGCCGTCAAAGTTATAGCTAAGAAACCCACTACAGTTAACGAACTGTGGAAGAAGAGTGGACCAAGATCACACCAGCACAGTGTGAGAAACTATATCCTGAGGCCGCAGATGTGCTGAAGTTATTCAAAGCAGGGGCCTCTACAATTCCTACTAATTTCTGACAGCTGTAACCCTCCAAAATTTGAGTTGTAATCTTTCGTACTACAGTGGTTACTGTTCTCACTGTGTTAAGCACTGTTTTCCACAAAATAGAGGTTTTGTTGAAATGCTTTGGTTATTTTGTCAAACATGTTAGTATAACAGTGGTATATCTACAGCTAATATTCCTTCAAATTTTGAGTGATGAAGATTAACAATATTTCAGAAAAAAATCAAATATTTATAGATTATTCTCTCATTTTGATATCCACTGTATTATACATGTAATTATATATATTATATCATTTATACTGGATGGGTTTTTATGTAATTTTGTAAATTAATTATTCATTATTAGTGTACAAATGTCTCTAGAAGCCCTAAATGGACAAATTTATAGAATTAGTTTACTCAAAAATGAAGATTCTCTCATCATTAAACTTCAGTAATTATCAAGCTGGCCTGTGAGCACATTTTACATGAGAACTTAAAAAGTGCAAAATCTATCCGAAGAAATATTTTACAGCACAAAACTAGGGGGAGGAAAATAATAATTTAAATATATAGAAATTTCCATGACTTTTCTAAAGTATGCAACACTGAGATGTCTGTGAAAAAGCATTTCCTAAGTGTTCTGCCAGTACGCTGTGTATTGCTCCATCCTCTTCTAATTCCAGTGAAACAATCAGCTCAGGATTTGAGTGCTTGTGATTAGTCCGGAACCCATAAGAACAATTTAGTTGGAATTTGATGCAGGCTTTTCAGCCAACGGCAAATGTAAACTAAAATATTTGTATTGATAGTTCCTCTGGTGCATTCTGGGGTTAAGGGCTTTGCTAAAGAGTGTAATCAAGATTACATTTTATGCATTAAATTATACTGGGTAGTTGGCATGTTAAGCAGTGAGACAAATGTCCTGCTATACTGTAAACAATATGTAATAACTTGTGAAAATACCTAAGGCAGTCCAGGCCATTGAATAATGTTCAAGAATCAAGAATAAAGCTTCTTGGACATCGTTTTAGGGTGCTCATATTCACCACTGGCAGCATTCTGGTTTGAAACACCCACTTGCCACAAACCATTCAGTTCCTGATGAATATAATCAAGGCTTGCCCAATAAAATTTTAATAGAATATCCTGTATCTGGTCTATATACCTATAATGCATTAATTTGTATTTATCTGTTATCAAAAGCTGCAAAATGGGTAAAGCAGTTCCTTGAAGCTAAGAACATTGAAGTAATGAAATGGCCAGCCCAGAATCCTGATCTAAACCTGAATGAAAATCTCTGGAAATTCCATGCCGTCAAAGTTATAGCTAAGAAACCCACTACAGTTAACGAACTGTGGAAGAAGAGTGGACCAAGATCACACCAGCACAGTGTGAGAAACTATATCCTGAGGCCGCAGATGTGCTGAAGTTATTCAAAGCAGGGGCCTCTACAATTCCTACTAATTTCTGACAGCTGTAACCCTCCAAAATTTGAGTTGTAATCTTTCGTACTACAGTGGTTACTGTTCTCACTGTGTTAAGCACTGTTTTCCACAAAATAGAGGTTTTGTTGAAATGCTTTGGTTATTTTGTCAAACATGTTAGTATAACAGTGGTATATCTACAGCTAATATTCCTTCAAATTTTGAGTGATGAAGATTAACAATATTTCAGAAAAAAATCAAATATTTATAGATTATTCTCTCATTTTGATATCCACTGTATTATACATGTAATTATATATATTATATCATTTATA